CCCCCGGTAACTATCACTTTGTTCTCTATAGTTAAGAGTCTATTTCTTGGTTTGTCTCTTTTATTTTTATTTCTTAAATTCCATATATGAATGAAATCATATGGTATTTGTCTTTCTCTGACTGACCTATTTCACTTAGCATTATACTCTCTAGATGTTCCCATGTTGTTGTAAATGGCAAGATTTCATTTTTTTTCATAGCTCGGTAATATCCCATTGTATATATAATACAAACCACATCTTCTTTATCCATTCATCTATTAATGGACACTTGGGCTGTTTCCATAATTTGGCTATTGAAAGCAATGCTGCTTGAAACATAAGGGTGAATATATATTTTCAAATTAGTGTTTTTTAATACTTTGTGTACATACCCAGTGGTAGAATTACTGGATCACACAGTTCTATTTTTAATTTTTTGAGGAACCTCCATACTGTTTTCCAGTGGCCGCACCAGTTTGCATTCCTACCAACAGTGCACAAGCCCTCCTTTTTCTCCACATCCTTCCCAACACTTGTTTCTTGTGTTTTTGATTTTAGCCATTCTGACAGTTGTAAGGTGATATCTCATTGTACTTTTGATTTGCATTTCCCTGATGATGAATGATGTTGAGCATCTTTTTGTGTCTGTTGGCCATCTGTGTGTCCTCTTTGGAGAAACGTCTGGTCATGTCTTCTGCTGATTTTTAATTGGGCTATTTGTTTTTTTTGGTGTTGAGTTGCAGAAGTTCCTTATCTAGGTTGGATATTAACCCTGTATCAAATATGTCATTTGCAAATATCTTCTCTCATTCAGTAGGCTGTCTTTTTGTTTTACTGATTATCTCCTTGGCTGTGAAGAAACTTTTTATTTTGATGTGGTCTCAATAGCTTATTTTTACTTTTGTTTTCCTTGCTTCAGGAGACATATCTAGAAAAATGTTTTTCTGGCCGATGTCAGAGAAATTGCTGCCTATGCGCTCTTCTAGAATTTTTTTTTTCAACGTTTTTTATTTATTTTTTTGGGGACAGAGAGAGACAGAGTATGAATGGGGGAGGGGCAGAGAGACAGGGAGATACAGAATCGGAAACAGGCTCCAGGCTCTGAGCCATCAGCCCAGAGCCCGACGCAGGACTCGAACTCACGGACCGCGAGATCGTGACCTGGCTGAAGTCGGACGCTCAACCGACTGCGCCACCCAGGCGTCCCGGGAATTTTTATGGTTTCAGGTCTCACAGTTAGGTCCTTAATCCATTTTGAGTTTATTTTTGTGTGTGTTGTAAGAACTGTGGTCCAGTTTCATCTTTTTGCATGTAGTTTTCCAAGCATCATTTGTTGAAGAGACTTTCTCCCAGTGCATATTCTTGCCTCCTTTGTTGAACGTTAATTGACTATATAATTGTGGGTTCATTTCTGGGTTCCCTGTTCTGTTCCAATGATCTATGTGTTTATTTTTGTACCACTACCATACTGTCTTGATGACTACAGGTTTGTAGAATATCTTGAAATCTGGGATTGTGATACCTCTGGTTTTGTTTTTTCTTTTTCAAAATTACGTTGGCTATTAGGGGTCTTTTGTGGCTCCTTACAAATTGTATGATTATTTGTTCTGTGAAAAACTGCATTACACAATTTAATCCACTCTAATTGACCGACATTTAGATTGTTTATGAATAACAATGCCATGAATATTATGACATATTCCTTTCCATATTCCATATTAGTGTGTATGTGCATGCATATCTGTTGGATATATAGCTAGAAAGATAAATAGCTAGAAGGATATATAACTAGAAGTAAAACCAATGTGTCACACAGGTAATGCATATATTCAGCTTCAATAATTAACACCAGTTTTCAACAGCATTTAGAAATGAAACACATAGGAATAAATCCAATTAAAGATATATAAAAACTCCATAGGACATTATAAAACATTATTGAAAAAAATTAAAGAAGAACTAAAAATTAAGAAAGGGATATACCACGGTTAATGGATTGGAAGACTAAATAATGTAAAAATGACAATTCTTCCCAAATTGTTCTAGATTCAATGCAATCCCAATCAAAATCTAGAATTTGTGGAAATTGGCATGCAAATTTTGTGGAAATTGGTATGCTAATTAAAAATACATGCAAAGGGCTAAGACTCTTGAAGAAAAACAAGGGAGGCCTTGTTTTGTTGGATATCAAATGACATAGACTAACAGAACAAAACAGAAAAACTCAAAACAGAAATATAAAACATAAAATCTAGAAGCAGATGCATGCATATATGGACACCATATAAACGATGAAGGTTACCCTGTAGATAGGTGGGGAAAGAACAGTCTTTTCAATAAATTGTGTGGGACCAGATGGATATCAATAGGATAAAAAATGAACTCTGACCCTACAACTTCATAATATATGTGAGAACCAATTCCTGGTAGACTCTAGATCTAAACATCATTATCTAGATCTAAAAAAGAATGCTTTTTGTTTTTAATGAGCAGATTATCTCAAACATCTCAACAGACTGTGAGGGAGCACTTTGCGTGCACTATCCCTTTCTAACTTTCTGTTGCTATACTAGCACAATGTCCAGCACGTAGTGGGTGGTCAATATATGTGCTGAACTAATAAACACACATGGATTTAATTGTATGGTCACAGTTTCTGGTATCTAGGGAACTCAGAAAACAAACTAGAGATACTGAAAGCTAGGAATGTAGCAACCTATAATTAAACACATGCATATTTATTTTCACTGCAGATTGAAGTATAATGCAAAAAAGCAATTAAATATATCTTATGATTCTGGTAACTCCATCTATGATGCTTCTGGCCTTAAAGTAGATTCTCCTTCCTTGGTTTGGCTACACAGTCAAGTTATATGATTCATCTGACACTGTGTGAGGAGCAGCAGGGTTTTCACACATCCCTTTCCTTCCTCAATTGTTATTTTCACAGCTGCTCATTTATGTCTTTCCTGCTTCAGCTTAAATAGCATCCCTTTAAAGAAGCCATCCTTGGGGTTCCTGCGTCGCTCAGTAGGTTAAGTGTCTGACTTGATTTCAGCTCAGGTCATGATCTCACAGTTCATGGGTTTGAGCCCTGCGATGTCAGCACTGAGTCTGCTTGAGATTCTCTCTCTCTCTCTCTCTCTCTCCCTCTCTCTCTCTGCCCCTCCCCTGCACACTTTCTCTCCCTCTCTCAAAAGTAAACATTAAAAAAAAATAAAAAGTAAAAAGAAGCCATCCTTGACCCATCTAAATAGGAATTTTCCCGCCACTGCCTATTGTCTTCTATTCTTCATTTACTTCACAGTCCCATTACTTTCAATTATTTGACTGTTTTTTTAAAGCTTATTTTGAGAGAGACAGAGCACACGCACACAGAGGGACAGAGAGAGGGAGAGAGAGAGAGAATCCCAAGCAGGCTCCATGCTGTCAGTACAGAGCCTGATATGGGGCTCGAACTCCCCAACCATGGGATCATGACCTGAGCCAAAACCAAGAGAGTTGGACACTTAACCGACTCAGCCACCCAGGTGCCCTGACTGCATATTTTTAATTGGTTACTTCTACTAGGTTCTAAGCATCACAAAGGTAGTGACTATGTCAGTTTTGTTCAGTACTATCTAACCAAAAGCCAGTATGGTGCTTGGCACATCATAGGTACTCAATAAATATTTGTTGAACAAATGAATTTTATGTTAAAATTTGAGTAGATGTCTTATCTCCTTAAGTACTTTGAAGGTAGGGAAAACATCATAACTCCATATCCTGCATACCAACAAGCACCGTGGCATGGAATATATAACGCATGCATTCCTTAAGTATTTATTTATTGTATGGAAAAATAAAAACTCTTACCTTGCCAAAGCTGCCTTTTCCAATAACTTTTAAAAAATCAAAGTCTGTTGGTTTAGCACTGAAATAAATGAACAATGACAAAAATTAGCCTCCTAGAAATTGGAAAGATGTTAACTTTTAAACATTTCTTAGTACCTCACTCTTTAATAAGTAAATGCTGGGGACAACATTCTAGCATGATGACTCCAGCTTTCACACTGGTAATATACCTCATCTTGAATATAAAATAGGTAATAATGAATAGAAGTAATATCTACTTTCTGATAAGACATTTTATAACCTTCTTAATGCCTTGTTAAGTTCTGCTTAAGAAAGACTTCCATAATGGTCTTTTTGTGAGAAAAGCATTTATCTATATCTATATATTGTTTGAACTCAATGTAGCTTCTCTTTAAACCAATTTAGTTAACCATAAACCTCACCAGTGTTGTTAATGAGGAAACTGAATAACTATATAAATTAGTAATTTATTCCAAGGACTATCTAGTTTGGCAATTTTTCTGACACGTACAGATTTTGCACATATATCACTTATCATACATTACAGATAAAAGACCTCTCCGCTTATTCTCATAGATGGCAATGCAGAAAATCCAGGAGTACAGAGATCAAAGAGAATACTAATTTTGTCCTTTTATTTACATTAACTTGTCAGATAAAAACAATATTGGTTACAGGTAGACAAAAGCACATGGCAACAGAAAGCAGAGCGTAAGCAGCCAGGAAAGAGGTTTCCTTCAACACGGTCTGAATCTTAAATTGGACTCAGGAGAAGATAATGACTCCATTTAGAGTTTAAATTTCCTTTAATTTACTATCAAAATAAATGGCCAATTCAAACATTAGAATAGCACCAGGCCTAGGTTAAATAATAACAGGTAAAGATTAGGGAAATAAATACTTAACTAAGCTCAGGTGTTTTTCTTCTTCAAGAATCTGCTCTTTGGACTATTTTGTTCTTTAGTGATATGTTGAGGTACTGAAATAATTTTTTTAAACAAATAGCAAAAAATCAAGCAAATTTTTCAAACATAGCAAATAGGCTAACTGAGGCCGTACCCAAGGCACCACTGTTAACTATTGGTGATGAACCCTAGCTGAAAGCGAGTTTGTTTCTGTGCTGCCTGAACAACTCAGTGTATGATGACAGGAAAGCATGCTCAAAACTAAACCTCCCTTCCAGCTACCACTCCAATTCTTTGCTTTCCTTTGCAGTAAAATTCTTCAAGTAAGAGGTTTAAATTCATTGTCTATTCCCACTGTCCTCTCCTGAACTCTTTCCTATCAGGGTTTGTACCCATTACACCACTGAAACAGCTTACAAAGGTCGCCAATGATTTATCAAACTCAATGGTCAATTCTCAACACTTACCTGCTTTACCAGAAACATTAACATAGTTAATTACTCCCCCCTTGACACACTTTCTTCACCTGCTTTTGAGACATCACATTCCCAGTTTTTCTCCTATTTTACTAACTTTTTTTTTTCTCCTTTACTGGTTCCTCCCTGACCTTACTACAATGCTGATGTCTCTCAGGACCCAATCCTTGGGCCACTTTTTATCTGTCTTTACTCACTCTCTAAGAGGACCAAAAGAGTGAGGGAAGCATAATGTCTTGGGAGAAAAGCTACACTACTTCAGAATTAATCCAATGAAACTGAAGAATAATTACAAGTAAGGATAGAAACATTATACTCTTTCTCCAAACCATGGCAGGTATCATTAATCTGTCAGGGCACTCCTCAAACTGAGCCAAGAAGTGGCCCTGGAATCCTATGTATTCAGCAATCTAGGCATTCACTTCTAATGAACTGCTGGAGTTGATACTCAAAATCAAGATCTAATACTCAAATCTACATTTGCCATTCCTGGTGTTCCTCAAAATGTTTTCCCCGTGCTCAAAAAAATATGGCACTGTGGGAGAAACTGGTTAGAACAAGTTCAATAGACTTTACTATGGTAATGTCCATCATGACTCCTCTGGAACAAGCTGGCTGACAACCAGGGCTGCACCAATAAACACTGAGCACCAGTGAGAATATGTGTTAGACCTGCATGGATATTTCTGTCAGAGCCCCTCCAAGTCCCTCCCAGGACGACTTAAGATCCCCTGAGAAATACAGTCTTCTGATTTTACACACACACACACACACACACACACACACACACACACACACACACCAGAAAAATGACAATGGCAAAACAGCAGAACCAAATTAATAATCTGTGGATTTACAAAATCCTCAGAACTCTGTTACAGCAATGGAAAGCTAGAACAGTAAAATAGATAAGCAAAGCATATGATAGCATTATATTCACCATAACTATGGTTATTGTATTTTATTGGGTTCTAGTTAAACTGATATAATTATGTATATCTGCACATTCACAAGACAGGTCTTCCTAGAATTCAGTTAGAGGATTTTTGAAACAAATTAAACTTACTGAGGATTTCCAGATGGTCCCAGGTTGATGTTCTGTGAGGTAGAGTGTAGCTATCGAGATGGAGGAAAAAACAGTAACACTGTTAATAACACTTCAAAGATTATCAGTCAATAAAATAAATGGTTCTGAAATAAAATGTATATAACTCTCCCATAGATATTGATGCATCGCCATGTTAAAGAAAACTGAAGTCCTAATTCTTATTAAATGCATAAACTTATTTGGAAACACACAACCAATATAAACACACATTTTTATGACAAATTGCAAGAGCAGTTGTAAGGGAAAAAATAACACAGGAATGAAGCTCAAAGTTGTCAAATGAATGAAGTAAACTGGGGAAAGCTCCTTGGATGAGGTGGGTGTAGAAACCACAATTTACAAGGGACCATTTCTACGTTTAAAAACTGGTTAAAATGGCTACCTATGTTTCAAATTTTCAAATAACTGCTCATTAATATTATGACATGGAAATGATAATATGATGATGATGAAGACTGCAGATGCTGGACTGAATTATAGGAGACAGACTTATTTCTAAAGCAAATACACACAGACAGGAGTGTTTTTCTAATTCCACCACTGTGGTCTAACAAAAATTTTAGATAGTCTTTTCTCTTTACAATAATTAACATAAATTTAATCCCTAGTATTAATTTAGAACCAAATCTTTACTTACCTACTATGCTATAAAGCAATTTAACTAAAAAAAGATTCTAGTTCACTAATAATTAGCTAGAAATTTATCCCCAAATCCCATAAAATTAATCTAGTGATCTTGTTAGTGAGAGCACTTTTCATACAGCCAGGTGTAAGTGAATTCTGCTTCACATAAATTCCCTTTGAAATTCTTTATACATACAATCACAAAGCTGCAGATACTCCAAATATGCATACTTTTACTAGAGCCTTATTATATAATTATACTTCCATACGTTATAGATACAAAATAAGCTGTAAAAACTTTTCTCTTTAAGCTCATCAGAACTAAAAAATTTTATCTAAGCAATTTACTATTAGTGATATAGATCATATATATTTCCACTTAAATTCATTTGAAAATTATAGAAAATCTCCACAATGCAAACTACTTTTAAAAATAAGGGCAAAGGGGCGCCTGGGTGGCTGAGTCAGTTAAGCATCCAACTCTTGATTTCAGCACAGGTCATGATCTCACAGTTTGTGAGATCAAGGACACACTGGGCTCTGCACTGACAGTGTGGAGCCTGCTTGGGATTCTCTCTCTTCCTCTCTCTGTCCCTCCGCCACTCATGCACATGCCCTTTCTATCTCAAAATAAATTAAAAAAAAATGAAAAATGTAGGGCAAAATTTCCTAAGCATAATAATACGTTTCTTATAAAAATAACAATATTGACACCAGTTTCCTACTTACAAAACAAATTTATTTTCTACCAATATCTTTACATGAAAAATTTTCAAGCACTACATTTTCAGTCCCCAGAAGACAGAAATTTAGAGAACCATACAATCTAGCACAAGACAAAAAAAAAAAAAAATGTGTAAAAAATCTGGTTCATGAAACGAGATCCTATTATGTCATAATTTTAACATGGAGTAATCTTTTCTGTTTATATATTATACTGTTTCCGAGAATCTGATAACATAATCCAAACTAAATTACAATTTCAATACACTTATTCTTTGAATGAATGTGCAGAAAACTGGATCACTTTTCCATTCAATTAACTTTCTTTATATATTATATAGGTGAGGGAAGAGGAGGCAGTAAGCATGGATTAAACAAGGGCAACTTGTGGCCTGAATTAACACTGATACATAAAAAGATTTCATTACACAGCAATGATTTTCCTAACAGAGCATATTTCCAAAATAATAATGAAAATTATTGGGAAACATAATTAATTTTTTACCTACTATTTTTAAGACCTTTTAAAAAAAAGTTTTATTTATTTATTTTGAGCAAGGGTGCACACATGTGCATGGGGGAGGATAGAGAAAGAGAATCCCAAACAGGCTCCGAGCTATCAGCAGTACCCTATTTCAGGAACCCGTGAGATGATGACCTGAGCCAAAATCAAGAGTCGGTTGCTGAACTGAGGTACCCTACTACCTACTATTTTTAAAGATTACAGTTAATCACTAAACTGAGGATGTGTTATAGTTTATTAACAGCATAATTATCATTAATAATTAATGATAATTAAACAAAAGCATGTTTCTTGGACTCTATTTTTCTGTAAGTAAGGGGAAAGGTCCTGATGTCCTCGAAGATATTTTCTGGCTATTAATTTAGTTATCCACTTAGAAGTCCTTAATAAATAGCTATAGCTGTAAGACAAAGTACAGCTTCTTCCCTTTTCTGAACAGATTCTTTTTATCTGTATTTTAAAACTGCAAGAGATTCTAGTCCAATTACAGATTTTATGGATGAAAAAAGAGAAAGGAAATAGAATTCAGATCTAAGGTCAAAAGTAGTAGAGACAGGAATCAGAACTCAGGAAGCTCTCTCCATTTGGTTCTTTCTTCAAAGCCAGCTGTCTCCTATAGCAAAGCAAGATATTTTTCAAATAACCCAAACCTACATACTCTCAACATGATTAGCAAGTAAAACATGGAAAATCAGGATTATATACATTTTCTTTAAAATGTCTTTAATATTTCATTTTTGCATTAAAAATATATATACATGGTTACAAAATATGGAAAACACCAGGAAGGTGCTTTTAAAAAATCCATAACCTTATTAACAGATGATTTTGCAAATACTGCAATAATTTCACATAGTCTTTGCGTAGCTTTGAAAAACTGACTGGAATCGTAAAAAAAATTTTTTTAATGTACAATATATGGGGACAAATTATTGAATTGGTTTATATTTACATTGATTCTAACTTTTCGTACTAAAATGATTACCTTTGTTTGTTTCTGCGCGAAGGATTATTTCATTTGCGTCAACTCCTAAATGACCTGAATATTTTCATGTTTGATACACACTGCCAAACTGCCAAATTATAGCGGTGCCAGGTAAGCCCAGGCAGGGATGCCTGCTGTGCCTTACCCTTATCAGTCCTGAAGTATTTTATTTACATTTTTGTTAATTTGGCAGAGAGAAAAAAAATCTCTATTTTAAAAATTTCACTTGCTGTTGGCACTGAGGTTGATCATTTCCCATATGTCTGTTTACGAACAGTATTTCTTCATGTCCCTTTGCTTTTTATCTACAGGGCTTTAAATATCATTCTTTTCAAAAATCCATCTATATATTTTTACATAAATGTTTTCCCTTCTTAGGCCTTATTACAAATGCTCTCCCAGTTTGTTGTTTCTCTTTTGACAAGTTTCAGATATAAAATTAAAATATCCTTTTATGTTGTCCTGGGATCAACCATGTCACAAATGGAAAACATAAATCAGCTCTCTTAACTTGAAAAGCCTCCAGTGGTATCAGAGAAGTAAAATTACTACTTTACAGTAGTTGCAAAAAAGGAATAGGACTATTTTCCAAATGAAGATTTTAGCTATGGGACAGTAATGTTCCGAGCGATACTATCTTTTAAAACACAGAAACAGAACCATGAAAAAACACAACATTATAAAGACAAAAAATGTACTTTAAGGCAACATCTCTGACTTTCATGTATATATTTAGCAAATATATACAGCTTTCATCAATTTTAATTGCTAAATAATAATTCTCTGGGTTAAATTACTATAATTTACCTTTCCCACGTAACTTTCTAAAGTAAATGTTGAAAACATCATTATAATAAGCCAGAGCTTATTATATTTATTTATTGGTTATCACAACTGGTTTAAAAAAAATAAGAATACCCTACTCTTTATTTGGAACACATACTGATTATGTGCATGTACCTACAGGAATAAAACTTAGTTGATGCCAACTGGCATATACATATTGATTGTTCTGCATATAAAAACCTGGCAATGAAGAGGAAGAAGTATTAAATTAACATTCTGATTAAAAAGGCCTTTCCTGCTGGTCAAAATTCAAAACAATAGTTTAAGTATGTTAATGATTATGAAGACATATAATGATCAAAAATTAAGATGTAAAGTGAAGAGAATAGCATATAAAATTGTATATACTGTATAATTAAAATGAGGTAACTAAAAAATCCCTATATATTAAGAGAAGATTAGTTGGAAAACCACTAAAATGTTAAAAATTACTAGTCTGGTTAGTGATAAATACTTCTTACTATTTTCAAAACTTTCTACTAAATACTACCATGGATTACTTTTTATCATAAAAGTACTCATTTTATAAATTTTATAAGAAATAATAAGAGGTGTACACATTTGTTTTTTTGTATTCTACAGGGTAGAAAATTTACAATGGATGAGATTACATCATTTTAAGTAAATGTTGCCCTCAAGTTGCCAGTAATTTCATCTTTGGGGAATGGTATTTTTTCTGTTAAAAAGTACAATCCCTCTTACTACCTTCTGAGTGCTTCTTTCATCCTCATCTTCGGATGGATCTGACTGATGTTTTGGGCTGTCCATTTGAAGGAATGCTCTGACATCTGGACTAAAAACAAAAATTAACTCTATTATAACTTTAAAAGCATCTCTATAGCTTTTCTCCCTTTTAAAATGAAAATAAAATAACTGTAATAGCATTTACAGTATGAATGCCAATACAATCCATCACTACTATTATAAAAGTAACAAGCTGATTAATTTTTTAAATATAGGGAATCCACCTGACAAATGATCAAAGATAAAAACAGGCAGTTCATAAAGAAAAACCCCAAATGGTAAGAAAGATGTCTAGCTTAACTAATAATCAAAGAAATCCAAAGTCAAACAACAAATGAGGTACCATTTTATGTCCGTTAATGGGCAAAGATTAGAAAGACAGATAATATCAAAAGTTGATAGGGATATAGGGAAAGAGACACCCTCATGCATTGCTAGTAAGAAAGTAAAATGAGGAAACTTTTCTGAAAAGGAATTTGGCAATATTGGTTAAACTGTGTAGGGCCCATAATTTCCAGTTGTAGGAATAAACCACAAGAAAATTCTGTACAGGTTCAGTGAAAGACATGTAACTAGGATACTCATAGCAACTTTCTCTATAGTAATAAATCAGAAGAATAGGCATCCACCAATAGAGAAACTAGTAAAGCTATGGTTAACGACCCAGAGAATTCCACTCAAGAGTCAGAAACAAGGAACCATGTAGCACAGTATCATTTTGTATATTTAAAATTTTTTTTTAACGTTTATTTATTTTTCAGACAGAGAGACAGAGCATGAACAGGGGAGGGTCAGAGAGAGAGGGAGACACAGAATCTGAAACAGGCTCCAGGCTCTCAGCTGTGAGCACAGAGCCTGACGTGGGGCTCGAACTCACGGACCGCGAGATCATGACCTGAGCCGAAGTCGGCCGCTTAACTGACTGAGCCACCCAGGCGCCCCTCATTTTGTATATTTTAAATATTCACAGACATGAAGGAGCACCCAATAAACAAATATCTGAAGACATATAACAAACATTCAAGTAAGGATCAACAGTAGGGATGAAGGGATGGGTATGAAGATCAAACATGAAGAGAAAAAAAAAAGTGGACTAAAAAGGCCTTACTAAGAAACTCAGAAAGATGAAAAATAATTTTTATTTTTTTATTTTTTATTAAAAAAATTTTTTTAATGTTTATTATTTTTGAGAAAGGGAAACAGAACAAGCAGGGAGGGGCAGAGAGAGAGGGAGACACAGAATCTGAAGCAGGCTCCAGGCTGTGAGCTGCCAGCACAGAACCCGATGCAGGGCTTGAACCCATGAACAGTGAGATCATGACCTGAGCTGAAGTCAGCTGCTTAACTGACTGAGCCACCCAGGTGCTCCAAAAAATAATTTTCAAAAAAGGGAGGAGCTGGTGAGAATATAAACTAGTATAGCCACTATGGATAACAGTTTGGCAGTTCCTAAAAAAGTTAAATGTAGAAATTCCATATATTAAGCAATTCCACTCCTAGCATGTACCCAAGAGAAATAAAAACACATCCATACAAAAACTCACAAATGTTCACAAGCAGCATTATTCACAATAGCCAGAAAGTAGTAACAACCCCACTGTCCATTAACTGATAAATGGACAAACTGTAGCATATCCAAAGGAATATTATTCTGCCATACAAAAGAATGAAATACTGACATATGATATTGCATGGATGAGCCTCAAAAACAGTATGCTGAAAAAATAAAAGACAAAAAAGATCACATATTATATGACCTCATTTATATGCCATATCCAGAATAGGCAAATTCACAGTGACAGAAAAGTAGATTAGTGGTTGCTAAGGGCTGGGTGAAAGGAGAAATTCAAAAGTACAGCTGACCCTTAAACAACATGGGGGTTTAGGGGCCCTGATGCCCCATGCACTTGAAAATCCATGTGTAACTTTTGACTCCCCCAAAACTTAATTACCAACAGCCTACTGTTGACCTGAAGCCTTACCAATAACAAACAGTTGATTAACACTTATTTTGTGTTATGTGTTTTATATAGCGTATTCTTACAATAAAGTATCCTAGAGAAAAAAATGTTAAAAAAATCATAAAGAGAAAATACATTTACAGTACTGTACCAAAAAATAATCCATGCATAAGTGGACCTGCAAAGTTCAAATGCATATTTTTCAAGGGTCAACTGCAGTCTCTTTCTGGAGTGATGTTAATGTTAGATTAGGCTTGAGACAACAGAATAGGATAGTGGTGATGGTTGTATAGCACTGTGACTATATTAAACATCACTAAATTGTATACTTTTGAAAACAGTTAAAAGGGTGAATTATATTTATGTGAATTTTATCTCAATAAAAAAATTAGAAAAAAATTTTAAGGTTTATTTTTGTGAGAGAGAGCGAGCGTGCACGAGCGGGAGAAGGGGCTGGGGGCGGAGAGAGAGAGAAACAGAACTTGAAGAAACTTCCAGGCTCCGAGGTGTCAGCACAGAGCCCAACACGGGGCTCAAACTCATGAACTGTGAGATCATGACCTGAGCCAAAGTCAGACACTTAACCAACTGAGCCACCCAGGGGACCCTCAATAAAAAAATTTTTAAAGGTGAGGGTAAGGATCTTTAATCTTATCACACACAGAAGCAACTATTACTAGTATCTTGGTGGTATTTTATTTCAATCTTTTTTTCTGTACCACTAAGACCATCTTCTATTTAAAAATATTTTTAATGTTTTTCACATAAAAATTACATCACAAACATTTCCCCGTGTTGTTAAAAAGTCTTTGTAAACAGTCACTTTTGATAGATGTATACTGTTGTATAGTGAGAATGCACTAAATGCTACTCAATGATTCTTTCATTTTAGGATACACAGATGGATACAAAGATTCCAAATTTTTACTACAGAATTTTCACTGCTATAAAGTTGTGATTGATAATCTTTGTGCATTCATGATTTTTAAAAACAAAATTATTTGGTCTGAATTATAAACCATTTTCAGGTTTTAAATATAGTTTGTTAAGCTGATTTCCAGAAAGGCTATACTAATTTATTCTCTCCCAGCAGTGTATGAATATCCTGAAGACTCTCTCCAGCTCTGATTAGCATTAAATATTTCGGTTTATATTACCATCTCTAATAATTTAAAAGTGAAAAACAGTAATTTAAAGAAAAGGTATTAGTAGTTCGTGAAATACAAATAAAGCAACAGTAAGATACTACAACCCACTTACCAGAACGGCTAACAATACTAAGTGTTGCTGAGGTGAGCAATGTGATCTTATAAATGGATAGTGGAAATATTATTTGGTACAATCACTCTGGAAAACATGTTTAACATTATCCCCTAAGGTTAAACATATACATAGCATACAACCCAGAAGTTCTACTCCAAGTACATCAGAAATATCTGCACACGTTAATGGCAACATTATTCACAATAAAATAAAAACAACTCAAATGTGCATCTGAGCAGTAAAATGGATAAAATGGAGTATATTCATACAATGGGATAATATACAGCAATGGAAATCAACAGATTATAGCTATATGCAACAACATGAATGACTCTCACATGGTTGAAAATAAGCCAGATAGAGGGGTGCCTGGGTAGCTCAGTCAGTTGAGAGTCTGACTTTGGCTCAGATCATAATGTCACAGTTCATGGGTTCGAGCCCCGCACCGGGCTCTGTGCTGACAGCTTGGAGCCTGGAGCATGCTGCAGATTGTGTCTCCATTGCTCTCTGCCCCTCCCCTGCTCATTCTCTCTCTCTCAAAAATAAATAAACATGAAAATAAGCCAGATAGAGAATATTGTATGATTCCATTTATTATAAAGTACAAAAATGGCACATTAATCTTTCCTGCTAAAAATCAGGAGAACAGTTATCTTTGGGAAGGAACAAAGGAACAGTGATCGAGAGGAGGCATGTGAGGGGATTCGGGTGTGCTAGTAATGTTCTACATTTCTTGGCCTGGGCGCTGGCAACTCAGATGCATTCACCTTCTCGTAGTTCATTAAGCTGCATAATCATGATTTGTGGTCTTTTCTCTATGTGTTGCACTGCAATAAAGCTAAAATAAGGTATTTTTACTCCAACTTGCATTTATTTTTTTTTTAATTTTTTTTAATGTTTATTTATTTCTGAGACAGAGAGAGACACAGCATGAGCAGGGGAGGGTCAGAGAGAGAGGCAGACACAGAATCCAAAGCAGGCTCCGGGCTGTCAGCACAGAGCCCTACACAGGGCTCAAACTCACGGGCCGTGAGAACATGACCTGAGCCAAAGTCGGACGCTTAACCGACTGAGCCACCCCGGCACCCCCCAACTTGCATTTCTTAAATAATACAGAAATGTTCAGTTTCTCTGGTAATCAGCCACTTGCATCTCCTCTTTTATAAATCATTAAAGGGCTTTGTCCATTTCTTTTGGTGTCTTAAGTGTGTTCTGTCTGCACAAGCTTTCTAGATGAAGCAGATTTATCTATTGTTCTTTATTATGGGAAACTTTTTCTACATTTTTGGTTTTTAACTTCACTTGTGATTTCTGGGGTTCAAAAGTTTTTATTAAGTCAAATTTGTCATTGTTTTACTTTACACGTATCATGCATTGCCAATATGTTCAGAAAACCCTTTTTTATTCAGAGATCAGAGAAATGTCAACCTGCCTTATTCCAGTTTTTAAATAATTTTAAAAATAAATTTTAATAAAATTGTTTTAAACTTTTTTTTAATGTTTATTTATTTTTGAAGGAGAGAGAGACAGAGTGTGAGTTGGGGGGGGTGGCCAGAGAGAGAGGGAGACAGAATCTGTAGCAGACTCCAGGCTCTGAGCTGTCAGCACAGAGCCCGACACGGGGCTCGAACCCACAAACTGTGAGATCATGACCTGAGCCGAAGTCGGACGCTCAACTGACTGAGCCACCCAGGCACCCCAATAAAGTTGTTTTAACATAAGCAAATAAAGGTACTTTTTTTTCTATTTTTTTTAAGATTTCACTTTTAAGTAATCTCTACACCCACCATGGGGCTTGAACTCACAAATCCAAGATCAAGAGTCACATGCTCCACTGACTGGGCCAGCCAGGCACCTTATCAAGTAGAAGTTTTTTGTTTTTTTTTTTCAAGTAGAAGTATTTTTAAAGTGCATTTCCCTAACTGGGAATAAGAGGCACATAGTAAGTGTTCGAAATACACTTGATGATTGGCTTCTCTTCTTGCTCTCTTAAATCTGTACTATTTTATAGTTTGATGTTTAAATGAAAAGTGTGAAAATTAGCAAAGCTTGGTTAACATCAAGAGGAGATTCAAAAAATATGAAATGTCATTTTTTTATTAAAAAGAAAACAGCAGTTAAAAATTAAGTTTGAGAAAACTCTTGGCTATTTATTTTTGAAGTACTGGAAATGTCCTCGACCATGAATAGAATGGTGGTAGTTACAGGTTGTATATGTACATATAAATCCACTGGGTTGTATACTTAAGAATTGTGTATTTTATGGTATGTGTATTTCAAATGTATAATTAAAATTAATATAATCAAATTGCTTTTAGTTGAATTTTAATACCAAATATAACATTTTTATAATATTACTTTCCAGATCCAGGATGAATATTTAGAACTTAATATAGAGTGTTACAAGTTCTGAGTAACACTTCAAAATGTCAGGAGAAATAATATCCATCACCACCATTTATTCTATACTTATTCCACGTGAGGCTCTGTCAAAGAAGACACGTTCGACCTCTTAATGTATACATTATATTTAAAACAAGCCACTAATATGCCAATTAGAAGTAATGAGTGCATACAGCAAAAATTAAAGATTAGAGGAATGGATCTAAGCTGAAGACACAGAATTTGTCCTAGGGCAAAGGCATAATGTTTAAAAAATAATTATACAGAGAGCCGAATCACAAAAGGCTCTTTGCTGAGGAAAAGACCAAATGTACAAATCCTGAGTTCAAAGATCCTCCCTAATTTTGTGTTTGTTACTTGCTAGAGGCTCAGGATGGAAAGGCACCTGCTCCTTAATGCACTGGCTAACCCCAGAGCTACCACAGGTGCCACACCTCTCCCTGAGCTTATCCTACCTGTGAGCATTGAGGGAAAATCCAAAGCACTGGGCAGGAGACCTTGGTCAGAGGAGGTCCAGTTCTAGAATTTTACTAACTTAGTAAATTAAATTAAGTTAAAAAAAGAGGTCAGAAGACTTGCTCAGAATGGTATAAGCCCTCAATAATTATACTGTGAAGAACTACACAAATGGTAGTCACTTGTTTTAGAACTGCTAAATATACAGTCCTTCAGGCTGTGATTCTGAAAAGACTATTAAAGGGTGTCCTGTTTGCATCACTGTCTATAAGGCAATCTTCATGTCTACACAGATAGGTGAACTATGGAAAAGCTCCCCAGACATTTTACTTTATCCCCTTTACTTCTTCTTAGAACACAATACTTTATATATGCAAAACAATGTAAGGGGCACCTGGGTGGCTCAGTCGGTTAAGTGTCTGACTTTGGCTCAGGTCACCATCTCACAGCTTGCGAGTTTGAGCCCTGCATTGGGCTCTGTACTGACAGCTCAGAGCTTGGAGCCTGCTTCAGATTCTGTGTCTCCCTCTCTCTCTGTCCATTCCCCATTTGTGCTCTGTCTTTGTTGCTCTCAAAGATGAACATTAAAAAAAAAATTGTAAAAATAAGATAATGTAGGTAACATATATGTAAATTAAAAATCATAATAAATAGGGGTGCCTGGGTGGCGCAGTCGGTTAAGTGTCCGACTTCAGCCAGGTCACGATCTCGCGGTCCGTGAGTTCGAGCCCCGCGTCGGGTTCTGGGCTGATGGCTCAGAGCCTGGAGCCTGTTTCCGATTCTGTGTCTCCCTCTCTCTCTGCCCCTCGCCCGTTCATGCTCTGTCTCTCTCTGTCCCAAAAATAAAATAAAAACGTTGAAAAAAAAATCATAATAAATATAATGAATACCCATGAATTATCAAACTCAACTGAAAACACATCTCAAACCATGGATCTACCTATATGTTCCTATAGAGGAACTTCATCAGGAGCTGCTGACTTCTGACTTCTGACTTCATCAGGAGCTGCTGGCCTACAGAAAGAAGCTTAAACTCATTAACATGAGATGAAATGTAAACAAGTAAGTATCTTCAATATGTCAGGCTTTTTGCAGATTCTGCCCCCTTTGTCTGGATGCTCTCTCCCTACCTTTTCCTGAACAACTGCACATCCTTTAAATTCCAGGAAGCCTTGCTTGACCTCCTCTGAAGAAAAGCTGGTCACATTTTTCCCCATTATCTTCTAGCACCTCTATCATAAAACTTTCCTACCTTCAATTGCTGATTTACATGTCTGTTTCTCCCACTAGACTAGCCTGTGCCTTTGGAAAGTTCTCCTTATATACCAATGCATACAGCAGGTACTTCATAAATGCTTTTTAAAAAAAGGTTTTATCTAGGGGCTCCTGGGTGGCTCAGTCAGTTAAGTATCTGACTTCAGCTTAGGTCATGATCTCGTGGTCCGTGAGTTCGAGCTCTGTGTCAGGCTCTGTGCTGACAGCTCAGAGCCTGGAGCCTGCTTCGGATTCTGTGTCTCCTTCTCTCTCTGCCCCTCCCCTGCTCATACTCTGTCTCTGTCTCTCAAAAATGAATAAATGTTAAAAAAAATATTTAAAAAAAAAGGTTTTATCTGAATTCCAGTTAGTTAACATTACAGTGTAATATTAGTTTCAGGTATACAGTATAGTGATTTAACAAATCCTTTTTGAATGCAAGTATAAATATAACATGAACAAATATAGTTAGAAAAATGTCTTAACTATGGGCTATGCAAATTTCTTTTAAGTTTAATCTACAAAACTAATACAAGTACAAAAGGAAGAAAGAAGATAACCAGGGCCTTGAGTTGATGGGAGGAAAAGGAGTTTTAAGAATACCAGGGAGGGGCGCCTGGGTGGCTCAGTCGGTTAAGCAGCCGACTTTGGCTCAGGTCATGATCTCGAGGTCCGTGGGTTCAAGCCCCGCATCAGGCTCTGTGCTGACAGCTCAGAGCCTGGAGTCTGTTTCAGATTCTGTGTCTCCCTCTTTCTGACCCTCCCCCGTTCATGCTCTGTCTCTCTCTATCTCAAAAATAAATAAACGTTAAAAAAAAAAAAAAAAGAATACCAGGGAAAAACAGCTTGATAATTTTACAAACATATACAGCACAGTAACATTCCACAGAATGTATAAAGTCTAGATCAGTAGCTTATTCATTATTCTTAGGTTTGGTTTCAGCGCCTCTTTAAAACAATAAAAATTACTTACTGGTTGTAAAGTTCTGGATATCTAACTAAGTTCTGAATGAATTCATTCAGTCCTGCTCTTCTTTGTTTAATAAAATCTGTTAAGAGAGACAAACTATTAGGATTATTTAACATCAGACTATGTAATTATCATCAATACAGTTATATAAGAATAGACAAGCACAAGACAGTGAATTCTGATCAAGAAGCTATTTAATTCATGTTTCCTGATCTACAATAAGAAATACTTAGAAATATATATATTTTTAAATCTATAAATACAATGATTATAAAATTAAAATCAAGCAGAAAACATATCTCCCAAAAGAAAACTCTCCAAAGAAATGCCTATTTTAGGTTCTAAATAGACACATTACAAAACTTGGAGAGGCAGGGGTGCCTGGGTGGCTCAGTTATTCGTCCACCTTTCGCTCAGGTCATGATCTCATAGCTCGTGAGTTCAAGCCCCACATCAGGCTCTGTGCTGACAGCTCAGAGCCTGGAGCCTGCTTTGGCTTCTGTGTATCTGTCTCTCTCTGCCCCTCCCCAACTCATGCTCTGTCTCTCTGTCTCTCTCAAAATAAACAAACTGTAAAAACAAATGTTAAAGAAAACAAAACATGGAAAGGTGGTTTGCTTTGTCCAATTCCTCAAGTACTACCAGGCAATGAATAAAAATTAACACTATGACACTGGTGACTGAAAAATCCTACTAATTAAGATAAAAAAAACAAGAATTACTGGTAGTCCTTGTAACTGGGAATGGTGATTAACCGGTTGAGTATCACCAAAATTTGGCTGCTAAAAAACTGCTGCTTAACATCCCTTGAAAGATACAATGGAACACTCCTAAAGAACAACTGTCCAGCAGTTTCAGAAGTGTCTGTACTATTGATAATTAAGGACCATGCAAGAGTAGTTTTAGCAATAAAGGTTAAGCACAAAAGTTTCTTGGAAATAGAAAACTTAATTCAAATATCTTGTTTCTGCTACTTGCTAGCTAACTGACGTTGAACCGAAGACTTAAATCCTTACTTGTAAAATGAGGATAACATTTATACCTAGTAATTCTGTTATAGGATTGAGAGAACGCATATAAGTTTACAGTAGAATGCCTGGAAGAGATAGCACAATCTTTAACTACTTTCATTGTTTTGTTATTTGTTGTTGTGGGGTTAAAAATCCATCATCCTAAATCCTGATTCTTAAGAGATATACTCTAAAAATGGAAAAATAGGACACTTGGTGAACGTCTCAATAAAATCTGGAAACAATATTCAACTTAAAAATGAGTTTTGGTTCAATACAATTATTTTTACTCAATAAAGCTTTTAATGTATAGCGTTTGACACCAAAATTATAGGTTGTTTCTAGTCACATAGGTTTATTTCCATTTCTTAAATGTAAGGTATGGCTATAAAAGAACAAATAGAAATTAGATCTGGTCTCTTAGATCAGATGCACTTAGTATTTTCTTCTTGTTCAACTGTGAATTTCTTGAAGAATTTCAGGAACGTATCTTTAAAAAAAATTTTTTTTAATGTTTTTATTTATTTTTCTTGTTTTTTTTTTTTTCAACGTTTATTTATTTCTGGGACAGAGAGAGACATAGCATGAACGGGGGAGGGGCAGAGAGAGAGGGAGACAGAATCGGAAACAGGCTCCAGGCTCTGAGCCATCAGCCCAGAGCCCGACGCGGGGCTCGAACTCACGGACCGCGAGATCGTGACCTGGCTGAAGTCGGACGCTTAACCTACTGCGCCACCCAGGCGCCCCTTTTATTTATTTTTCAAGAGAGAGACTGACAGAGTGTGAGCAGGGGAAGGACAGAGAGAGAGGGGAAGACAGAATCTGAAGCAGGCTACAGGCTCTGAGCTGTCAGCAGAGAGTCCAATGCGGGGCTCAAACCCATGAACCGTGAGATCATGACCTGAGCCGAAGTCGGACACTCAACCGACTGAGCCACCCAGGCACCCCCTCAGGAAAGTAGCTTATAAAACTCTTCCAAGGGCATTCTTTGTTATCACAAGACAGTAAAGCATATGCAAGGTTTACATTAGAAACTATACTTGAAACAGTTATTTTTCAGGAACTGAGCTTAGTAAGTTAACATAAGGGAGAAAACTAAAATGAATGACTACATTTGAAATATTTAGAGAAAATCTAATGATTGTAAGGAAACAGCTTTAAATTGTTCTACGGAGACTTACTAAAAGTACATTTTATATTGGGAGACCAACTGTAATTTTCCTTCCTTTGTGAACTACATCCTATGCTGTGGCTAAGTGCTTTCCACTTCCATTACTGATTTTAAAGTTTTAAAGGCTCTATAGAAAGGCTGACATAAGAAAACAAAGAAGTCAATAAATGGAAAAAGAGGCCTACAGTGGTCAGAGTTTAGGGGAGATTCCACACTTAATTTTTAGATCAACATTAAGCATGCAAATATCTGAAAAAATTCCAGGTAAAACTGAAATGGCTAACAAGCTCATTACTGGATAAATTCCAAAAGTTTACATAAAGCTGACATATTGTCTTTAAGAATTATAGTTGGAAAGAGATATTTTTAAAAATCTCTCTAAGAACTTATATGAATGTATCTGCTGTCATTCAAGAAGTTTCAGTTAGAGACTGAAAAGAACTCAATGTTTAGACAAAATGAAAGCTTCAGTCTCCACAGTAAGTATGAAACCAACCTACACCGATTTCTCTCTCATTTCACTGCTTCAAGAAAATGAACCAGGAGGACCCAATTTCCAATACCGTAGGATAGGGTAAAAACATCATCAAACTCTTGATTTGAGGAAACCTAGAGTTTTAGTGCTAATACTGCTACTGGTGGCCAGAGTGACCTATTTTCATCATCAAAGGAGTTTTAGAGCCCATGGGGACCACGGAGATTCTTTAGTCTTAACCCACACCTTTCAGATTAGGAAACAAAGTTAAGATTTTTGTAATGTTCCAAACAAGTAATTTTTCGTTTTAAAATAACATGAACATAAAAGATTGTGAATTTTGTTTCTAAAGGTACCATGCATAAACCAGACAATAGAGTGAAGTGAAAGAGAACAAACCAGATGAATATAATTCTATCATTTATTAGCTGTGTGGCTGGGGACAGTGTCTTAACCTTGCTAACTCTCTATTTTCCTCATGCATGAAATAGAGGTAAAAGAGCTACTTTACAGGAAGGAACTCAAATAATAGCACAGTTATTATCATTACTATTGCTACCACTATTATTGTATTATTATTATAAATAGTTATTATACTATTTATACTATTACAATAGCAGCATTTTAAAAAACAGCCTGCCACAGTTAAAAAACACTGGAGTTAGAGTCTAAGATGTAACTGAGTCTCAGATACCACTGCCTGTTTTCATAATCACAAACTCCTCCCTTCTGTAGTCTGTCAAGCAGGGGATAGAATTAGATGATCTGTAAGCTCTCTTTCTAGCTGTAACATTTTGTGATTTGAAACAGAAGTCATCCAGAAAAGAAGGAAAAAAAAGAGAAAGACTGGCTAATGAAATTAACGTACCTAATTCAGAATCCTCAACTATTTGAAAATTTAAGTTCTGTGAGAGATATTTAAAATCTTTAACCTAGTACTAGGCAGACTTTCCAGAACAAGTGACTAGTTGAAAATGGCACGCATGTGTTCCATTTGTATTCACCAATGGCATGCATGTATTCATTTGTTCACCAATCACCTATTACACATTTTGTACTGTACAAGGCACCAGAAATTTATAAAAATGTTTAACTAAGTCATGGTATCTATCCTCAAAGATAGAAGGAAGACAAATTTAGTGGAAGACAAATTTAAACAAATCACTACAATTGGGCATACCAAGGTTAAGCATCCAACTTTGGCTCAGGTCACGATCTCACAGTTTGTGAGTTCAAGCCCCACCAAGGGAATGGAGATTTCAAAAGCTGCTATGATACCAGAAAAGAGGCTCCCAACCCTACCTAGAGACTAGCGTTTAAGAAAAATTTCAATCTCCCTTCCCCATCCCCCAGCCAAAATCCCAAAGGGAACCAGTTCCTGCCAGGGAACTTGCTTGCACCACGCACACACCCAACGCTGTGCTTCTGTGGATCCATCCCTCCAGCGGGTCTGACTCCCTCCCGGTGCCGCAGGGCGCCTCCGGAAGCGGATCTCCGAAGGAAAAGCGAGCTGAGCCTGCCCCTCCCGCCACTGTGCACCTTGCTGATCCACCCCAGCTAATACGCCAGATCCCCAACACCACAAGCCTGGCAGTGTGCAAGTAGCCCAGATGGGCCATGCCACCCCACAGTGAATCTCGCCCCTACGAGAGGGGAAGAGAAGGCACACACCAGTCTGACTGTGGCCCCAGCGGTGGGCTGGGGGCAGACATCAGGTCTGACTGCGGCCCCGCCCACCAACTCCAGTTATACACCACAGCACAGGGGAAGTGCCCTGCAGGTCTGCACCACTCCAGAGACTATCCAAAATGACGAAACGGAAGAATTCCCCTCAGAAAAACATCCAGGAAATAACAACAGCTAACGAACTGATCAAAAAGGATTTAAACAATATAACAGAAAGTGAATTTAGAATAATAGTCATAAAATTAATCGCTGGGCTTGAAAACAGTATAAAGGACAGCAGAGAATCTCTTGGTACAGAGATCAAGGGATTAAGGAACAGCCAGGAGGAGCTAAAAAATGCTATCAATGAACTGCAAAATAAAATGGAGACAACTACGGCTCGGATTGAAGAGGCAGAGGAGAGAATAGGTGAACTAGAAGATAAAATTATGGAAAAAGAAGAAGCTGAGAAAAAGAGATAAAAAAATCCAGGAGTATGAGGGGAAAATTAGAGAACTAAGTGATGCACTAAAGAAAAATAATCTACGCATAATTGGTATCCCAGAGGAGGAAGAGAGAGGGAAAGGTGCTGAAGGGGTACTTGAAGAAATTATAGCTGAGAACTTCCCTGAACTGGGGAAGGAAAAAGGCATTGAAATCCAAGAGGCACAGAGAACTCCCTTCAGACGTAACTTGAATTGATCTTCTGCACAACATATCATAGTGAAACTGGCAAAATACAAGGATAAAGAGAAAAT